ACTTTATCACATGCTGCAGTGATAAGCCTCTTCAGTACAACTGATTTTAATTGACTGGAATGTCGACCCCAAGTATATCCATGATCTAATTATTACAGAAAAATGTAATTGGTAAATGATGTTGATTTATTTCCTGTTACCGCATCACTCCAAAAAGAACTGTTTTGCCTCCAGCTGACGACAGTCCACTTGGGAAATTTTACAGTTGACACCAAGAAAGAATTAGACTTTTCCACCTCCCCCTCTTCTCCAAAGAAACAAATACAGGAATGATTTTTTAAAAAAAATCAAAACAGTTTGGTAGGAAGGGATGGGAACAATGCTGGCAGCTTGTATGACAGAAGCAATATTGTATTAATGGGATTACCAAGTCTGAACAATTTGACTCACAGAATCACAGAATATGCTGAGTCGGAAGGGACCCACAAGGATCACAGAGTCCAACTCCTGGCCCTGCACAGGACCATCCCCAAGAGTCACACCAGGTGCCCAAGAGTATCATCCAAATGCTTCTTGAACTCTGTCAGGCTTGGTGCTGTGACCACTTCCCTGGGGAGCCTGTTCCAGTGCCCAACCACCCTCTGGATGAAGAACTTGTCCTGATATCCAACCTAAACCTCCCCTGACAGAACTTCAGGCCATTCCATCTGGTCCTGTCACTGGTCACCACAGAGAAGCTGCAGTGGCAAGGGCAGAACAAGCCAGGTATCCAGAAAAGCCTGGCTCTGAGCTCTTCTGCCACCGCTGTGCCTGCAGTCTGCTCTGGGGGCCTCACACAGACAAGCTTGTTACCCACAGCTGCACAAAACCCCTGCACAGTTTTCCCCTGCACCTGAGGTGGGCAGGCTGTTTCCAGCAGTGGTGACTTCAGGGCAGGAATCCAACTCCCCAGCAATTGATTTATTTAAATCCTTAATCCTGGATGGAGGGGGAAGAGCCATCCACTCTCATTTCCTCCAAGAGCACACTATGACTTTCAGAACATAAATCCTCATAAATTTGAATATATGACAATCCCTAAGTTAAAAATAATAGCTAATTTTTTATTATTAAGGAACTGCCATTAGAAATTTTAATTATTACTATACGGAGTGTCAGCAAATGACATCATAAAATATTTAGACCTGAATTTATGAGTAAAGATTGTTATTGAAAGGTCTCGAGTGTTATATGTGCTGAATTTTACTGATATTGAAACTCAAAGAAAATGAAGATATTCTATTGAGCTCTTATTGGAATTCATATAGTGGAAGTTAAATTGAACAGCTCTCATAGGGTCACAGCACATTTGGAAGAGAAAAAAATATGCATTGATTAAAAATGGATTTTTCTATTATAGAAAAAAATGAAAATAAATACATTATAGAAAAAAAATAATTTCATTTCCTTGAGGAAGAAAGCTATAACGTATCACTAGGATATAGCCAAAATCTGACTTTCCTCTATACCTTAGTCTCTTAATACACAAAATCTTGACTAACCAGTTGCAAACAAGTTCTGAGAAGACAGATCACGAGACGAGAGAACCAAATTATATGCTGGTTGCTTCTTCTTGAGTTTTTAAAGGAACTTTTTAAGAACATTCACTAACAAAAGGGGGGGGGAAAGTTGCAAATATACAATATTTAAAACTTCTGAACTTGCCAATCTTGAAGTGTTTCTAAAAGAAACAGTGGCTGCACAGCCCACCTCAGTCTACTGGAAGGGAAGAAAATTCCACTTTGGTCGTGATTCTCAGTGAGGTACCGTCATCTGACTTTTAGTGCATTTTCACAGTTGCAAAAGCAACTGGCATAACCAGTTCTGCTCAAGCAGAATTCCTGAAGATAACTGATATAAAAAATTAATCATGCAAACCTCCACTGCAAGTGCACTTGCAGCTCCTCCAAGACTACTCGTTCTGACTGCTTTTAAGCTTTAAAACATTTTACTGGATAAAAACTATATGAAAGCTCTTGGTGACCAGTAAAACAACTCAACCTGAGCATACACCAATATTGATTTTTTCATCAGAAGACTGTCATGTCATGCATTCATGTATATTATCAGCATTAAAAGCAGGATAAGCAACAGCTTAGCTGCAGTGATTTTAATTCCTACATTGTTGAAATAGAGTATTGATGCTGTGCTCTATACACACTTAATGAACAACAGTTTTTACAGGACTTGAGAAAAGGCCTATGCACTCAAAAACCTGTCTGATTACTCTTTTAGTACAAGGTCCAAGGGGAAAAAAATGCTTCTTCTCCTTACATACTGTGCCTGGCTCAGTTGTACATGTACAGCCATCTTCAGTCATGGTTTAACAATATGCAACTTGCAAATGGCAACTGACATTTGAGGGTCTGGAGTTTTCATCATTCATTTATTTATTTAGCAAGAAGGCAGGAAAGAAACAAGAACTGGTCTTTCTAAGATCAATTTTTAACTACTTCACAATTCAATTACTTTTTTTTCCTCTTTTGTACTTCACATAAGCACATATCTTAAAACTGCATTTTTCCTTGGAAATTGCTTTCAATCCCAGATGAGCTTATTATGGGGAAATTATAAGAACAATGTACAATAATAACGTATTTTAAAGATTGCTCCCCTTATATAAGTTTTAAAAATATGCACAAAAGCACATCAAACCTTATCATTCAGAAGACCATTTAAGTTTGCAGTCAACTTTGCTCATCTCATTCTGGAAAACAAATAATCTTTCATTGATATAAAAAAAGAAGATGGAACCACAAACATACCAATGACCTCCATACAGGAGCACAGAGCCAAATGAATGGGATAGTCACAGGGTCTAATTAGTGACCTGGTACAAAGGGGGTTTTTTGATGTCTGTACAGAAGCAAATGCAAAAGCAGACTTGAGAAAGGATTGCTTGGTGGACCAGTCATCTTAGTTCTTGCACACAAAGAGCTCATGTCAAGGAAGTAAGATCAAATGGGTTTCGCCAGATACCTGGTTATCAATTCCAGACCTCAAGGGTGAAATAGAGCTGCAGCATTAATTCCTCTGGCCTACTACTCTTTTTTCCAGAGAGGTGAAGAAACTGCTGTTGGCCAACTGGCATCATCCCAATAGCCCTATGCTGTCACCTCCCCCACTTAGACACCCACCACTCCTTTAGGCACAAACCAAAGGACTAAAATTGTGCCTCTAAATGGGCAAAAACTCCACAACACAAGTGCTACTTCGTCATTGTTAAAGCAACTGTGAGGGGTAACCTGGACTGTGCTTTTAGATGTTGGTGAGGCTCAGATTAGTGATTTACAGCACGGCTCCTGTCTCAGAAAGTCTGCATGTCAAAAATAACTTCAGGAAAGTGCCAAATCAATTAGGAAGGATTAGTTATTGTTATCCAAGAGGCACTGGAGACAATTGTTTTTTAGACTTGCAGTCTTGCCAGAAACTCAATAATGTTTGGATGCCATACCACATAAATCTTTAATAGCTACTTTTTTCTAACACATTTAATACAACCATTCAAAGCTGTAATGCTCTTGGAACACTGAACATTCACTACTTAAGATAGTTTGGATGTATAGGAAAAATATTCACAGTACCAGCAACAACCAAAAAACATTAATAAATTATTTATCCACAACTAAAGAACAGGTGCTACAATAAAATATACTGCTAAATCTCAGAGTACTGTGATTATTAGGCCTCTTCAATTCTGTCATGAAAAATCTTTGGTGAACACTTCAGAAGTGTTAATTGTATCAAGACAAGCTGTAGATAAAGTCTGAATGGCTGAGCACAGTGACAAGTTCAAAAAGCTGCCTGAATTTCATTTCAATAAACAGCCCAACTACAGCTAAGCCCAGTGACATGACACATGGATTTCCAGAGTACTTTACCCTAAATTAAGCAGCACAGTCCTTCAAATGAATATTTGCATTTCACACACCGCAGCTGGTTTTGAAGTTCTTACTACATGGTCTCTTCCCATGCAAACCTTCCCATTCCCACAGTGGTTTGAACAAGGAAGCGACAACCAAAATATGACAAAAGCCCAAACCCATGACATGCCTACATGAAATCCCAAAACTCCAGATCCAGTCAGACAGACTGAAAGAGGCTGTTCTTGTCACTGAAAGAGCAGCTCATGAACTGCTGCCCACATAGCTGGATTTCACAAGATTTTCCCCATTGGAAAGGCAGGTCATTTGATTCACTAGCCAAGTGCTTGGGTTCATCTGTACTAGAACCAGTTCTCCGAAACGTTGTTTTCAACAATGTTATAATGCCACAGCTTGAGAAGTGATATGCAAAGAAGGAACCATTTCAATAAATAATTTCAATACACACTCCATTTTGAGTGTGTATTGAAATCCAGCTATTTGGACAAGGAAAAAAATATTTATTCCACTCACTTATCCTGAACCGTATTGTATTGTTCCAACATTTCAAGTCAATAACCAAATTTTCATCAAGGCCAACACATGGAAAATTTCAACTCCAAACAGCAAGTACTTCAGAAAACAAGGAATGGGTGAAATAAGCATTCTAAAACAAGTTTCTGGCACTCTATCATGTTCACTTTATCTTGAATTTATGTACTTTTAATTACTATTTAAGCAAAAATAAGCCAAGGCCAGAAGACCACAATTTCCCTTCAAACAGCCTGTTATAGATGGATCTTTGACACAAAGGCCACAAACCAGTGAAAGCCAGAGCAAGAATAAGATACTAGAAAGATTTTCAAATTAGGTAAGCTTGATTATAAAAAAAAAAAAATAAATATACTTTGAATCTTCACAAGAAATGCTTTATACCCAAGTGGTATGTGTTTTCATGGTGTAGTCAATATAATGACCACATTCTTTTGAATGGCACTGTTATAACGGAAGTAAAATTTCAACTAAGAACCTTCTTTGCTACTGCCCAAGAAATTGTGCACAACTCAAACAGATAGGCTGCTCAGTCATATATACAGATCATAAATTTAACTGGCTTCTACATTCACCATTAATCCTAACACAGAACTAAACAAATACCTTTTGCATTTTCTTGGGGTCCTTCTGTGAGTTTTCTCTGAGAGGTACTTTTCCAAAAAACTTCCATCCCACATCATTTTGTTTTTCAAATCTTGCACTTTGCTTTCTGGTAAACAAATTCCTAAAAAAAAAAAAAGTTTGATTCAGAAAAAGAGGTTATTAATTATAACAAACAGAAGGACAGACAATCTGCTGACCTTACGTATCCCAATCAAATATTCCAACTCCTCTTGTGGTTGAGCTGACAGACACTGTTTCCCATTCTCAAAAGATAAATCATGCAGTATTATCACCATACCAGGTAATGGACTTTGTTAAATAATAACTTCTAGTAGATGAAAAAAAAAGTTCATTTTCCAACTTTCTACAGGTGGCCTTCCTTTTTAGCATCCTTCTAGACCACTCAAGCCTCACTCCTTTAAAAAAACACTAAGACATTCAATCTCTTGCTCAGTAAACATTCTCTACCTGCCTGTTACAATGCACTACTACCAAAAATCACAAAAAAGTTGGAGACATAGTAGCTTTTTACTGAATTTGATCTGCTTTCATAAAAGATTATTTTTCCTGAATAAGCTTAAAGGTTGCTATCAAAACACATTAATTCTGAAGACATTTTATTAACTCTGAAATGTCTCAACCAGCTTAAACACTGCAGGAACAGTCAAAGCCAGGCACAAAGCCACTGAAAATTGAATTAGTTTTATTGACGTTGCTAGTTTTTAATCATAAAGCGATAGGCCAGACTTCCATTTTTACACCACAACTACATTTTTCCAAAACTGGACATGCAGTACAGACCAGACCTCATGCACTCAGCTCCTTCAGCAGCACAACAGATATTCTACACCCACAGTATGTCTGCATTATTAATGTAACAAATTTTCTTTTGTTCTATTGTCTAGTTTAGCAAGTATTCAAATATATACAGGTTGGCTCAGTTATTTACTCACCTTGTGGTAGGTTTTTCTGGAAACCTGACTATAGATTTTTGCTCGCTCATTTAAAAGAAAAAAATAATTCAGAGACAAAAGTATTTTTGCTGCTGCAATCAGCAGGCAGCTCTAGCACCTTCAAACCATGGATGTTTCCAGTCTGCCATTACTTCTTTTCCTTACAGTTACTACCTTAATGCTCAGTGTGTTGGTCCATCAAGTACAGATCGTTTCATACACATCAAGTGTGGAAGTCTGGTAAATAAAAGTATATTGAGCTGCATGTTCCAAAAGGGTTGAATCCATAATAAGAACAACCTAATTCCTAAATCTGTAATAGGAACAACCTAGACACTAAATAGTCGTTTTTCCTGGCCACTTTGTATCAGCCGACATGAACAATATCACAACTATACCAACAGAGATAACATTGCTGCAATACAGGAGAAATGTTTGATATGAGGAAGACAACTGAGGTAAAAACGTCAGCGTGTTGAAATGTACTATAAAGTTAATAGGGTGCACTGCCATCCTTAAATATGCACATATTTATACAAATTATCACATGATTCTGTATCACAAGGATACAGTTACCTTGAAATTCAAACCAGGAACAGATTATCATATTAAAAGATAAGAACAAAGTGTTTAGGTACAGAAATCACGCAAGTCAATTACAACTGATGCCAAAGCTAAGCAGTAACTGTACTTCTACAAACCCCTTTCAGCTTTCTCCTACCCTACCCCACACAAAATAAGAAACAGTATAAAGAGACAGAGTAAACACTTGTAGGGAAAGCACTAAAGAGTAACAACATGAAAAACATAGAAACATGCTGCCATTTCCTCCCCCCTTTCACCTTTTTTCAAAGCATGACATTATAATCCTACAGGTAAACCACTGGATCAAACCCAAAGTTTTGCTTTCTCTAACTAGCATACCCCTGTTTCAGTGTTATGAGACTTTCCTGTGGCTCATCATTACAGCTCTGAGACTACTTACAGATTTATAAGCTAACTAAAGCTAACTGCTGGGAAGAAGAGAATATCACAAAAATAATTTCCAAGAAAGGTATCTCAGTTGAATTTAATTTCTTTCCACCAGCAATTCCTTCACCTTGTCAATACACAGATTCCATTCTGATTGGCCTGAAGGGCCTCTGCATGTCATTTTCTCACCCTTGCCCATTTCATAACATCTAAGACCAGAGATGATGGATTTATATTATCATTTGAGCCAGCTACCAGGGAAATAATACATAAAGAGAGACAGAAAAGAGATTAATTTTTACATATATGTTCAGTTAATTTAAAACAGAGAAATATCAATTAAGTTCTAAAATATATATAAGAATAAAAAGGAAAGCATGACAGGAATAACATCACAAAAATCACAGCATGTAAACAGGATAAACAATGCTAGGCAGGCTGGCTGTTCTTGCAAGAAGTTTTCTTTCAGGTTGTTGCTGCTTCAAAAGTGAATTCCAGACTGTCTTCAGAGAAAACAAGAACTTGTAGCACCAGGGACAGTGAAAGAGCCCCCTAAGGAACACACCTGTGACAGTTCTGTGCACGTTCAAATCCTCTTCTGCAAGTAAAAGGCTTTCACCACACTTCATTAGCACTGCAATAACATGAAAATTAAAGGCAATTTTCTCTCCCTATCTATCCATATTAGAGGTTGCTAGCACAAGCAACAATCCCCCCAATCTCCTCTGAGGGATTTTAAGAGCAGCAGTAGGTCTTTATCCTCAGAGCAAAACAAAGATGAATTGGAATGATAAAATAGAATAGCTCTCTGATGCAAGGGCCTGCATAAGATGAACTAAATTGGAAAGGTCAATCTCACACACTTGCTTTCGATTCAATTCCACAATCCTAACTATCTACTTTCCCTTTAGAGGGAACATCATAATAAATAATCTGTTCCACAGCTTATCTAGCAGATGGCACAGCACTTGCTCAGCTCACTCTTCTCTATCCCTACATTCTAGGGCACCAGGCATCTCTTCCCCTTTTTGTACTATGTCAGTTCACTTTTAATTTAAAATATATATAAATATATATATATATATATATAACTGAAAGCACCAGGCATGGTCAACATACAACTCCCATTCTGCATTCTCCTTTTCCCCTGCTCTCTGTCTGGACCTAAGTTACAGTGTTTTGCTGGTGTCCACACTCCTTACGAACTCCAAAACGTCTCAAAACTCCCAAAAGGCATAATATTATCAGAGGCCACATATCAGCACAATCAGATGTAGAACAGCAAACTACAACCTGTTCTTGCTCTGACTAAGAACATTAAACTGTGATCTGCTCTGACTGGAACAGGTCAAAGTAAACCACAAGATAGTTAGGATGGCATGGAAGGAGCAGAAGAGATGCCACCTAATTTGCAGCTGATCGTAGAAAACTGAACAGGAAAAATAACCCAAACGAACAAACTATGGAATGTTCTCCAGTTCAATTTCTGCAGAGCTTTGCAAAAAATCAGGACACCACCACAGGGTCCTGACAAAAACACTACTTGAGATTTCTGGACTGAAAGCAAACCCTTAAAATATGATCAAACTTCCATAATTACCACAGAATCAGTGGTCTCATAAATAAAAATCAAGAATTTAATTTATAAACTAGTTGTAGCTCCAGGCTACAATTAAACCTAAGTAATCCTAACAGGAAAGGTTGTGCATGGACCCAGTTTCTACCCCACCACTAATTGCCCTTTTTAAGGTCTAAGTGGGTTTCAGAAAACATCCTGGAGAAATAGGGTACCTTTATGAAGGGAATTTCTCCCAGGCTCATGGTTATTTAGCCTACTTAATACCTACTGCAACTGCCTTAGAAGGAAGTAAGGATTTTTGCCATATATATAGTAAAACCTTCAATTTTTCTGCTGCCACAGCACAAAATGGAATTACTTTCTTCCCATGCTAACACAGCTCCCTCGGATTTCCAAGAAAAGTACTGAGCAGTCTCACTTCTGAAAAAATTCACTAAGAAAAATTCCACTCTAAAGGTAACTTAAGGAGACCTTACCTAACAGAAAATACAGGTTAATAATAAGCAAAACTTCTCTACCTGGAAAAAAAAACCGAACAAAAAACAAAACCCAAAAAAACTTAAACAGACCTTTACTCCAAAGACGAGCTCAGAAATGCTAGGCTAAAAGATATCAAACTTTCATTACAAGTGCTTTAGGATAACAAAATTAATTTGAGATCTTGAATGTAAAAAAGGGTTGACATGCCTGGAAAGAAAAGATCACACGCTGATCGTTATCTCGGTCTCATTGTCCTCTTCAACACCATTAGAGCACATCATGCTGATTTACAATAGGGATATTAACAGGAATTTCTGACATGACACATCGTGTCTGCAGTATCATTAGCGTGGAGCCATTAAAGTGTCACGGGTTACATCTGCATTCCCATTGTACGTGCTAACTATTTTACACTAAGTGTCTGCAGCTTCTTATTTTAGAAAAGCCAAGCACAGAAGTTAAATTGAGGTCATGTTTCAAATAGAAAATGGCTTTTTGCACAGTCCCCTAAAAACGGTATTCAGCACTGAACAGCTGTTTAACCTTGTTATTTTAGTTGAGTTATGAAGAAGAAATACCTGCCTGAAGAGAATTTAATTCTAACTCCAGAGTTAATTTTTACATACATACAAATACCATCCTGTGATATAGGACAGAGATGGAACAATCTTTTGCTTGTACAGATACTGCATCACCACTGTATCCTAATCTGCCCAGCTGCCTTTTCTGTAGGGAAAAGAGGAAGTCAATACCAAGAGACAAGTTCAGCAGTGTCAGGAAATTCTTATTTTTTTAATAAAACTTAAGAACCATTTCATTTTGGTTCTATAAGCACTGCTAAGATAAACTTACTGAATAGTTGCCATATATGCACTGCACATTTACGTCTTGCCCGTACTTATGTAGCTTTGTGTGCTGTCATGGTCAGGTTTTAAGTCTCAATCAAATAAAAAAAAATTATAACCACATCGATAACAAGTAATCAAGTCAATCCTACCCATATGGCATCTGTTACAGCTTTTTCAAGCTTGTGTTTTTAAACAAGGTCCCGCATCAGCACTGAAGCAGAAAGTTTATCTAGTTGTTTCCAATCCTCTTTTCAAACAGACAGGAAGTCTGTAACACAACTGCCAGCAA